CACTTGTATCACATTCATTGAGAGTCTGTAAGCTCGTTTGAGCAGGGTCCTCTTCAACCTATTGTTCCTGTAAGTTTTCTTGTAATTGTCCTATTTATTGTTACACCCCCCCTCTCAAAATATTGTAAAGCGCTACGGAATCCGTTGGCGCTATATAAATGGCAATAATAATAATAATTGAGCATAGAACAAGATGTAGTCACAACTTTCTATTATATGAGAGTTCTTAGAAGGTCGAGTTTCTATCCCTCATACTGCTTACTTTACTTCAAACTCCCTCTGTTTCAGCTATGTATTGATATCCATATACATGTTACATCATAACTACTTGATCATAATATATACATATATATAAAAATAATAAATGAATAAAATAAAATATTTACAAATGTTGATCCAATAAACAATAAAGCAATCAGAAATATCTACCTGCTCAGGTACAGTCATATCTTTGTAGATAACAAAATTAAGATGATAACTTTCTAGATAATAACTGTGTATCACTACCATATTCCTACAGACACATATAACATAGTATTTTCATTCTCAATACCTGATATTACTTAAGTACTAATATCTGTATTACTATAATATCCTGTCCAATTAGATTTCCATGAATCATATGGTTTCTAGCAACCTTAAAATCTTTAGGTCATTTGTATTCATGAATTACATTCCTATACCATTAATACCACCTAGTGATGATTGTATCAGTACTTTACAATCATAGTATTTAATTTGTATATTCAGTAGGCTCTCACTACCTGAAATATACCAACACTACTTATAAGTCTCATTCAAAGGATGTGTTATCAACCATGAAGTTCTATAATAATTCTTCAAATAATGTTCATGTTGTTGACAATACTTATTGTCCTAGAAATTCTCCACCCAGAAATCTTTCTATCATAGATTTGTTTTTGTTTACATAATTATAATTTTCACTACAATTCCACCTTGTAGTAACAAACTTTTCATTCAATAGAAACATAGTTTACTTTAAAAGAACTTGGAAAGAACAAATTCATTATCATCACTCTCTTCATTAGCATTGTGATGACTTATTAATGTAATACATTTTAAAAGCAGGATTGTCCTAATGTTCTGACCAATCCATATTCCTTAGTACACTTCAACTGACTAAAATTAAATAAACAAAAATAAACTTGGGATCATACTGCCCAGAAACTCTTATTCCTAGTCTGTGTCTAACAAACTCAGGGAAATCTTAACAACTTATAACAACGTATTCATTGGATACCATCATATCCAGAAACCTATTCTCCCTAGTCCATACCTTTATAGCCTTAGGTCAAATATAATTGTGTACTATAATCTTAACTCAACTTCAATTCAATTCCTCTTGGATCTCTGAACTCTTATATCCAAGGCATTCTTAATGTATATAATTACTTAATATTAATCAATATAAATTATTCTTCCTTAGTTTTCTTCCTTATGTTACCATTGTTTGTTTTACTTCACCTCGATATAAACAAATTACTCATTATAATTAATCTATGATATCCTATTGAACTCAATCTTTGTGGTATTAAGTAACCATGATCCTTATTTTATGAACTTCATATTTTATCTACCTCTGATACTTCTCATCCTATGTATAGGTAATAATGTAATAGTTCTCTTCATAATACTATCCTATCATAGTTTTACTCCATGTGTTATATAGCTATAAGTAGTCTCTTTTGGTATTAATACTCATAACTGTTAAATAACTTTTCATTGTCTGTTTTCTTTTCCGTTAATATTTAGGAATTTATATGTTTGTTAGTGTCAATCTTTTATTTCTTTGTAAGTCTGTTAATCTTCTGTATCGAATGAACTCTGTAGAATCTTCCATCACAGTTTGCAGATCAGATGAAAAGTCTCTTTCCAACAGTCGATGTCCAGTGTCTGAAGGAATGCTTTCCTGATTTATTGCCACAAGGATCTGTCACGCTTTACCAGATCAGTTATTTCTGTCTATTTCGTTGCTTCATCCACACAGCTGCGCAGTTCTTTGCTTGGACGCTTGCCAATGTCTGCCACGTGCTTGCTTCTAGAATTCACGTTGTATCTTGTGCTTTTTGTCTCAGTTGTAGAAAATAGTCTTGTACAGTCTTTGATTTGAAAACTTTCTTTTTCTTACAAACACAGTCTAGATTCTTTTTTTTCTCTTCAAGTTTGTTTTCCCAGTTCCAAAATAGCTTTGTAACTCGATTCTTCTCTCTCCCCCCTTGAAGTGGGAACAAAACTTTGAATAGAAGACTGGCTGGCTAGCCAATGTAAAAAATGTAGATGAATGGATGTTAATGTAGACTCTTTCTTAATTTCTTCTTGTCTTCAGTTGATTGATATATATACGTCTTTTGTATATATATTCTTGGGCCAAATGCTCGCCACAATAATATATGTCTATATTATTGAAAAGTAGTTATACGCAATCTGACTTACGGTTTCTTCAGGTTTATTCTTAGTTACGGATACATAAAACAACAAATGATGTTACAGGATAATGGACATTCAACAGCAGATGGTAATTGCTGGACTTCTGATGGGAGAGTTACATCGTTGTACAGAGCCAAGCCTCAAGCCAAGACTAAGACCAAGACTGAGAGACCTCGTGTCCCTCTGTTACTATATAGAAGTGCTAATACTAACGTCAGCATATAACTCTAGCCATATAAGGAAAAGACCCCCGAATCCACATTCCAGAGCTCTCGGACAAAGAAAGCCTTGTGACTTATTGATACCATCTGTTACTTATGTCAATCCACACATCCATATATATAATCAATAGAAACATAGAATATGCAATATTCTACAGTAATAGAGCAGCAGGAAATGCTAGCAGAATGCTTGGTTGTATAGGGAGAGGTATTAGCAGTAGAAAGAGGGAAGTGCTCATGCCATTGTACAGAACACTGGTGAGACCTCACTTGGAGTATTGTACACAGTACTGGAGACCGTATCTTCAGAAGGATATTGATACCTTAGAGAGGGTTCAGAGAAGGGCTACTAAACTGGTTCATGGATTGCGGGATAAAACTTACCAGGAAAGGTTAAAGGATCTTAACATGTATAGCTTGGAGGAAAGACGAGACAGGGGATATGATAGAAACATTTAAATATATAAAGGGAATCAACACAGTAAAGGAGGAGACTATATTTAAAAGAAGAAAAACTACTACAACAAGAGGACATAGTCTTAAATTAGAGGGACAAAGGTTTAAAAATAATATCAGGAAGTATTACTTTACTGAGAGGGTAGCGGATGCATGGAATAGCCTTCCAGCTGAAGTGGTAGAGGTTAACACAGTGAAGGAGTTTAAGCATGCGTGGGATAGGCATAAGGCTATCCTAACTATAAGATAAGGCTAGGGACTAATGAAAGTATTTAGAAAATTGGGCAGACTAGATGGGCCGAATGGTTCTTATCTGCCGTCACATTCTATGTTTCTATGTTTAATGCCTGTCCCCTCCACAGATGCTGATAAAGTGTAACACTGACCTGTCGTATCCCCGTATTGTGGGTATATCACAGCTCTGCTCCACTGCATTATCACTTTATTTTATGAATGAAGGGCTGCATATGATGAAAAGACAAACAAGTAGACTTGTGCACAAATCCCATACAGCTTCCAAAGCTTTCCTATTTTGGTGGAACAGTCCAGATTTGAGTGATGTTCAGGGAAGTAGAACCCTGTAGAGAGCACTGAAGTTGTAGACTAGCCATAGAAGATTGGCAGTCAGCCTGGTGTGCAACACAGGGAGCTGGTGACGACACAGAGGGCTGAAAAAGGGACGGGAACAGGGGACATTGAAGCTTCCCCTTGCAGGTACGCTCTCAGTGGTGAGTGCAAGGGTAAAAGCTGATAATGTCTGTCACCAAGGCGCAGAGCACGTTGACATCGGACGCAATCTTTGCACAGAATTGACATGAGATTACCCTGAACAGAATTCCAGGCTCCATAAATCACATGTTGGAGGTGTAACTAGCCCCCTGGCACAAACGATACGCTGCACATGCAGATTCCTATTACCATGACCACTTCTAAAAGCAGAAGCGATCATGGTGGTTGGAGTGATCCTTTCATTAATTATTTGATATGCCTTCCAAAAGATGTTGATTTTCAAGACTTTTTTGAATGATCGAATAGTTAGGAAAAAGCCTAACTGATTGAAGAAGGGAATTCCTTTAATAGTAAAACTATATCATTCTCAGTCCTACAGTTTGTAATTTCTGCGCCAGTTCTCCAACATCTCAAAGTTTAATGAATAAACCACATCGGTGTGAATTATATTGCTGTTGGGCTCCAGGATACAGTCATATACTTTATATAATGTTATTGTGAGTTTATTGCTGTGATGGCGAAATTGAGGTTAGAATGGCCACACTGTGACTATAGCTGAGATGAAGACTTTCTCCAAATCAGCTATTTTCTCCTAGGATTTAATTTTTTTTTTAAATTCTTTATTTTTGTGGATAAAGCGTGATGTTTACAATATTACATGTTTGGCAATATAATGAACAAACAATACGGTAATTTCAACATGTTGCGGGGACTATCCATTTTTTATATTTTTAATAGCTTTTACAGCCCTCTCTCGCCTGTTCTCCCGCGGGGGATTGGTGATGTGCTGGGGGGCTCCTTTCCTATGGCGGTGAGTGCCCTGAGGCTCGTTTGTGTGAATTTACGTGTGGCATTAACGAATGGCACATCTGGGAGGGTGATCTGCTGGTGGTGCTCGGTTAGTGCTGTGGGTGCCCATAGGCTTAGTTGTGGCATGGTATATGTGACTTGGGCCTAAGGCACGTCTAAATGTGTGGGTATCTGACATGGGTCCTGACAGACCTGGGCATAGGG